CCAACCCCCCACCCCCCCAAAAAATCTCCTCACCCTGCACTTCCTTCCTGATCACCCCGCCGCTCCGCTGGTCTTTGACGCTACAGACGAAGCTCTTCCTCTTTTCCCCGGCCGTCAGTCGGACGAAGCTGAGCCTTTTTGGGGAGCCCGAAACGATGGCGGCCATGTCGGAACCCCCGACCCCCTCCCAGCTGACGGAGGAAGAGGAGGAGGAAGGAGAAACCAGGCAACCCACGGCGGCGGGGAGAGAGGAGTCGGAACAACAGGCGGACAGCGGGTACAGCTGGGGGCTGCTTGTAGGGCGGGCTGTGGGGAGAGAGGAAGGGGGTCAGATTCTGCCCCATAGAGACCTCCTGCCCCATAGATTTTGGCCCATAGAGACCTTCAGATCCATAGAGACCTCCTGCCCCATAGATTTTGGTCACCTGCCCCATAGATTTTGGCCCCATAGAGACCTTCAGATCCATAGAGACCTCCTGCCCCATAGATTTCGGTCACCTGCCCCATAGATTTTGGCCCCATAGAGACCACCTGCCCCATAGAGGCCTCCTGCCCCATAGATTTTGGCTCCATAGAGACCTTCAGACCCATAGAGACCACCTGCCCCATAGATTTTGGCCCCATAGATTTTGGTCTTTTGCCCCATAGAGACCTCCTGCCCCATAGATTTTGGACCCATAGAGGCCTTCAGACCCATAGATTTCCGTCTCCTGCCCCATAGGGTCAGATTCTGCCCCATAGATTTTGGTCTGGGCTGTGGGGAGAGAGGGGGGAGAAATGGGGTCAGATTCTGCCCCATAGAGACCTCCTGCCCCATAGATTTTGGCCCCATAGATTTCGGTCTCCTGCCCCATAGATTTTGGCCCCATAGAGACTTTCGGACCCATAGATTTTGGTCTCCTGCCCCATAGATTTTGGCTCCATAGAGGCCTTCAGACCCATAGATTTCGGTCTCCTGCCCCATAGGGTCAGATTCTGCCCCATAGAGGCCTCCTGCCCCATAGATTTTGGCCCCATAGAGGCCTCCTGCCCCATAGAGACCACCTGCCCCATAGATTTTGGCCCCATAGAGACCACC